TCAACTTTTAATCATAACATTTAATCATGATATTAATATGTCATACTTAATACAATCTTTATGAGATTATACACTCAACATATTAAATTAAAACTTTGCCAAATTGCTCATCACTTATATGAGAATTGATCATAATAATCTCACTTTAATAACTTGATCATATCATGAATATTCTTGCATATATACTCATCTTTACATATATGCCTTGTAATTATCATAACTCATTCATTTCTCATCTTCAAATCATGAAATTTAACAGTCATAATCTCAACTCATAATTAGACATGTCATAAAAATTTCATAATTTTAGCATGCATATACATCAAGTTATTAGAATTTAAAGTCATAGTGAACATAAAATTCATCTTGCATGTTCAACTTCAAAAATTCATAACTCAAGCTATACTTTGTCAAATCACTTAATTCTTATTCTCATGTACTCCACTTTTACATAAAAATCATTCATTTAAATCATACTTTTTCAGCTTATTCATATCTTTATCAACATCTCATCAAATCAAGCACATATATCATATAATTGATCTTGAACAACTTTAACTCTTTGTATTCATAGAATCAATTATAAATTTAACTTCTAAATCATGATATACTTACTTATAAACATGTAAACTCATTATCAAAACATGAACTTAAGCATAAAACTTTAAGATAAGTAAATTACCTCCTTCTTGCTAGAATCGTAACTTGATTCTTCACTTGTAAATTCTTCACTTCTTCACAATTTCTATTACTTATCTCTCTTACACTCATATATATCTTTTGGTACTTTTCTTTGGTGTGAGAACTCTGATTTTTAGGCCTCTATTTATAGGCACAATTTGGCAAGACATCATAATGGAGTGAAGAAATGAACAAAATAAACAATTTAAACTTATAAACTTAATTAATCATAAACTATTTAATGATTAACTTGTATTATTATCCAAACATAATTATCATAAAAAATGGCCTCTATTCATAGCCATGAATGAGCTTTTTGGTAGATAAAACTTACTCCACCAAGTTTAATAAAATTCTCACCAATTGTTGAAAAAAAATGCTAACTTAAAGACTTAGCAAAACTTTGTTGTGATTTTCTCATCTCATTCTCACCAATTGATGACCAAAATTTCGTGCTTAATGTGATGTAATTGATTCCATATATTATTGAAAAAATGTCACCATTCATCATATAAAAATCTTTGTAACAAAATAATAAAAAAAAAATAAAAATCATCATTTTTTATTACTTATGCATTTTCTTTCAAAATGGCTGATTTTTAAAAATCTTTTACTGAAAAATAATGCTCATATATGGTCTTGGATCATGCTAATAAATCAAGAATAATACAATTTACGGAACTCAATTCGGACTTAAAACGAACGTTTACCGTAAAACTGAAAATTCTAAAATTTAAATCCTTTATTCACAGTTTTTCTTCAATTTAATAAACATATTTCTTCTTAGGATCTAATATAATTATCTTGAAATATTATATATTTACGGAACCACATTCGGACTTAAACCGAACGATTACCGTAAAACCAAAAATTCTAAAAATTTCGGTTTCTCTTAAAATAATTTAAATAGACTATAATGTCTAAATAAATTTTCTCACTTTTTAGAACATTTATCACTTAAATGTTCATGGATACTTAACCGCACTTCGAGACTTAACTTGTATCAACATATGCTAAAACTCAATATTATGATCTTATCTTGATGACTTGAATACATAGAAAAATTCTAAGTATTTAGTACTAAGGCTCGGCTATTTCTTAATTAAGTTCAACTCATGACCGAACATACTTGAGTTCATTTCACTACTTATCTTAAACGATTAATCAAAATATACTCAATTTCGATTATTTGTTATCTAATATTAATTAATCCCGTCTTATAAATCCATTTATAAAAATAAACAGACCGGAATTAATTAATTACTGAACTTGCTCGATTACTGAATAAAATTTAACCGAGAATACTTTCGACTTAAAGTCGAACTTTTAACTGAATAACTTAATAACTGGCTCGGAACTACGAACGAGCACTTATTAATAAAAGTAATTAGTTCAACTTAGAATAATTACTTTTATTAATTACTGAATGGGATATTACACCAGCTGCAAGCCTGGCGATGTTATGAGGTAACACTAAAAACAACAGAGGCCCAGAATAAGAGGAGGAAAGAGGACGACCCCGAGTCGTCCCATCGGGAAAAGAGGCAGGAGTTAAGGCTAGAATCACAAGATGAACTTATGGAGGTCGAGCTCATCGAAGGAAGGCCGGATAGGGTCACGAAGGATGGATGTCATATGGGAGAAAGTGTGACAAAGATGCTGGTCGAATTGCTCCAGGAGTTTGTGGACGTGTTTGCCTTCTCAGCGGATGATCTCACAGGAATTAAACCAGACATTGCCGAGCACAGGTTAAATATAGACTTGGCAGCGCGGCCAGTGAAGCAAAAGAGGCGTCATTTTGGTGTCGAGCTCGATGAGGTGATTGATGCCGAGGTGCAGAAGTTACTAAAGGCGGGGCATATACGGCCTATCCAATTCCCAGAGTGGCTGTCCAACTCGGTGATGGTTCAAAAGGGTGAAGAAAGGTGGGGGATGTGCATCGACTTCAGGGATTTGAACAAAGCATGCCCCAAAGATCATTACCCGTTACCAAGCATAGATAAGCTTGTGGATTCAACGGCGAGATGCGAGCTGCTGAGCATGATGGGTGCATCGCAGGGTTACCATCAAATACCTTTGGCGAAGGAGGATTGGAAGAGTAAGCTTCATGACATCCAAAGGAACCTATTGTTATGTAGTTATGTCGTTCGGACAAAAAAACACAGGAGCAACATACCAGCGGTTGGTCGATCAAAGGACAAATCGGTCGATATATAGAAGTATACGTCGACGATATGTTGGTTAAAAGTAAAAGGACAGATGATCATGTGACAGACTTAAGGGAGACACTTGCTACCTTGCGACAGTATGGTATGAAACTTAACCCCGCGAAATGCAAATTTGGAGTACAATCGGGGAGGTTCCTGGGGTACTTGGTTACGGAGAAGGGCATCAAAGTGAATCCCGAGAAGGTACGGGCTGTGATGGATATGCAGATGCCGAGGAACTTGAAGGAAGTGCAAGTGCTGACAGGGCGCTTGGTCGGGCTGAGTAGATTTATTGTTCAAGCCGCCGAGAAGAGTTTTCCTTTCTTCCGGGCCTTTAAAAAGGGGTCTTGTTTCGAGTGGACTCGACAGGCACAACAGGCCTTCGACCGATTGAAAGAGTTCCTCGCTGAGCTTCCTCTGTTGACTAAACCCGAGCCCGCTGACATCTTAGTTGTATATCTGTCGGTGAAAAAGGAGGCCGTAAGCTCGGTTTAGCTTAAAGAAGATGGTAGTCAACAAAAACCTATATATTACGCTAGTCGAATATTACAAGGTGCCAAGCAACGCTACGCAAAAGTAGAGAAGGCTGCTTTGGCACTTATATCAACAGTACGGAAGTTGCAGCCTTACTTCTTGGCACACAAGGTGGTCGTGCGGACCAACTATCCATTTAAAGATGTGTTATGGCGGCCATCTGCCTCAGGAAGGATGGTAAAGTGGGCTATCGATCTCGGCGAATATAATGTTGAATTCAGGGTGAGGCGAGCAATAAAGGCACAAGCCTTGGCGGATTTCATACAGTAGTGCACGGTAGCCAAAGAAGAGAAGTGTTGGATGGTATATACGGATGGGTCCTCGGCGACCGGAGGTGACGGCCTGGGAATTGTCATTATCACGCCCGAAAAGGATTATCTGGAGTTCGCAGTCAAGATGGTTGTGCGGGTATTGAATAATGAAGTGGAGTACGAGTCACTGTTACAAGGAATACAGCTTGTCTTGAAAGAAGGAGCTCGGCGAGTAATCTTCCATCCGGATTCGCAGCTCGTGGTGGAGCAGGTTAAAGGTGAGTACGAAACCAAAGAAGAAAGAATAAGGAGGTATGCAACCGAGGTGAAGTTATTATTAAAAGGGTTTGAATCATGGGAACTCATACAAGTACCTCGGTCGGAAAATGGCCGAGCTGATCTCTTGGCCAAGATGGCAACATCGTTGGTGGATTGTAAGTCGCGGTCAGTCACTTTGATGGAGTCACCAGGAAGTGTTCTGGATCGGGTCTTGGAGGTTGAAGAGCAAGAGGATTGGAGGTCGCCCTTAATAAAGTGGTTACAAGGGCCGGAGGATAGAAGAGATTTGAGTGGGTACCTGGTTGGTAGAAGGGCAATGAGGTTTTACTTGTGCGATGGATAGTTGTATAAGAGGTCTTATGTTGGCCCCCACCTAAGGTGTATTTCAGAAATGGAGGGTGAATATGTGCTAAAGGAAATTCATAAAGGCTGCTGTGGAGATCATGTGAAGGCAAGAGCCCTGGTGGGCAAAGCGTTACGAGCTGGTTATTTTTGGCCTACAATGAGGGCACAGGCACAGGGGTTAGTGCGTAAATGTCTCAAGTGTCAGCAGCACAGTCCCCTAATCCACCGACCTGCGGAGGGCATGGTGCCGATAAGCTCGGCGGTACCTTTCACCCAATGGGGGATCGATATTGTAGGGCCCTTGCCTATTGCGACGGGCCAGCGCAAGTTTTTTATCGTTGCAGTGGATTATTTTTCAAAGTGGATTGAGGCTGAGCCATTGGCCAAGATCACCGAGGAAAAAGTGATCAAGTTTTTGTTTGCTAACATCTGCTATCAGTACGGGATTCCGCGAGTGCTCATATCAGATAATGGGACCCAGTTTAGAGGACAGCGAGTGATGAGCTGGTTCGAGGACATGGGTATCAAACAACGGTTCGCCTCGGTTGCCCATCACCAGGCAAATGGGCAGGACGAGGTGGCTAATAGGACGATTCTGAATGGGTTAAAAGCTCGGTTGGACAAGGCTTTAGGATCTTGGATGGACGAACTGGACTCGATCCTTTAGGCATATAGAACCACGCCAAGGGCTTCAACAGCGGAGATGCCATTCAGTTTGGTATATGGAATGGAGGCAGTAATCCCTGTGGAGGTGGGGCTTAGCTCGGCAAAGGTGAATACTTTTGCTTATGGGGATAACGAGGGACTGCAACAAGAGGCGTTGGATCTAGTTGACGAGCTGCAGGACCAAGCCATGGTAAGGGTGGCAGCTTACAAGCAACGTATGAGAGCGGCCCATGATCAGACAGTCAAAGCTCGGCAGTTCCAAGTGGGGGACTTGGTGTGGAGGCAGGCTGATGCTTTAAAGCACGTGGGTAAGTTACAACCTAACTGGGAGGGACCCTACAAGGTGCAACGGATACTAACATGAGGGGCCTACATGCTAAGTGATGAAGAAGGGCGCGTGTTGAGCCGTCCTTGGAATGTGATGCACCTCAAGAAGTACTATGCGTAGACGAGTTAGGTAGTGAATAACGTGTTTCCCTTGTGTTTCCTTGCAAGAATAATGTGATGAATAAAAGTTCGTTGGTTTCTATGATTTTGTTGTTATAGGGCGAAAAGCCTGTTAAAACACGAGCTTCAAAGAGCTCGGCGATGTTGTGTTATGGCCGAATCCTGTTAAAAACGCAAGCTTCTAAGAGCTTGGCGTTGTTGTGTTAGGGCAGAAGCTTGTTAAAACGCGAGCTCCTTAAAGCACGGTGTTGTTGTGTTAAGGCAGAAGCCTATTAAAACGCGAGCTTCTAAGAGCTCGGCGTTGTTGTGTTAGGGCGGAAGCCTGTAAAAAATGCGAACTTCTCAGAGCACGGCGTTGTTGTGTTGGGGCAGAAGCCTATTAAAACGCGAGCTCCTTAGAACTCGGCGTTGTTGTGTTAGGGCGGAAGCCTGTGAAAACGTGAGCTTCTAAGAGCTCGGCGTTGTTGTGTTGGGGCGGAAGCCTGTTAAAACGCGAGCTTCTAAGAGCTCGGCGTTGTTATTAATAATTATTAGGTTAAAGCACAAGCCTCTTAGAGCTTGGTGCTGTGTGCGAAGACATATCAAAATGATGCGGACGAAGCATAAAAAGAAAATGAAAATTTCATTGCAAAAAGGTCAGCGGCCGAATGTACATCTAAAAATAAAGAGAAGACAAACAAAACAAGAAATTTAGGAAGAGGACGCGATGCCCCTTTTGCGCCACCAAGCCCGACCTTGACCTTAGCCACATCCAGCACTGGAGCCCACCAGGGGGCGTCAACCGGCTGAGACTTATCTCCGTTCCAGCCCATTGGGTCTGGAAGGCCGGTGACCATGGCAGCCTTTTCGACAGAGCCTCTAAAGCTGGGAGTTTGGACCTGGGCCAAGCAGCGGGCTACCCCCTCGTTAAAATACCAGAGACAGACGGGGACAAGCTTGCTGAGGTAGTAGGTGGTGTGGTCATAATACTTCAGAAGCTTGACTCGGTAGTGCTCCAGGAAGCGGGCCCCGTTCACTTAAGAGATGAAGGAGGCCTCGCCGTCCTCGCGAGCTTGGGCAACCCGTTGGTCCACGGCCAGCTTGAAGGACCCCAACTTGGCATCCTTTGCGGCGAGATGGGCTTGCAGAGCGGCCGTCTTGGCTTGCAGACCGTCTGCTTCCTCCTCTTTCTTCTGGCGATCGAACGCCTCCCTTATGCTGGCCAGCTCGGCCCGAGTGTGGTTCAGGTCGTCCTGAAGAGCTTCAACCTCGGACGTGCCCTGAATCTGCTTGTGCAGAATGAGGGCAAGACCAGCCAGAGCCTAGTAGATTAGAAGGATTAGAATCTGAGGATAAAATGGCAATATGTGATAAGCATGCGGATGTTACTTTCAACAAGTTATTGCAAGTGATGGAGGCTTAGGTCTGATTATCTTCCCAGCGTGTGGTTTCACCTTTTGGGAAGATGGGACGAGGTACGCCACCGCGGTGTCGACGTCCAGGTTGTACACGAACGCTTCTGGCATCTCCAGAAGCTGCTTGGTCTCCTTTTGGCCGGCCGCCTTTTTGGGGAGTTTCCCACTAGCTCCCGCGCCCTTACGCTTGGACGACCTAGGCTGAGGCGTGGGGGTCTGCTCGGTTGAGGCACGTTTTTTGGTGCCAAAGTTCGTATGCTCAGCGGTGGGGATAGACTGCTCGGCGGGGGTTGACTGCTCAGCGGGGGTGGCCGTGCCAATCGCTAGCGCTGAAGCTAGAGTTGGTTGTACGGGCGCCGTGGTAGAGGCCGGAGTGGAGAATGTCGAGCTGAATGCAGCTTCTGCAAGAAAGGATAGTGTAAGACGAAATATTACAAGTAAAATGTGGTGGGACTGTTAGGTTAGACACCTACCAACGTCCTCTATGACCTCGGCCGGACGGCTGGATAAATTAAAATGTTTGAGGAGACGGGCGTCGGAGGTTATGGGTACCACCTGCACGGCGTGCTCGTTCCATCAGGCGATGATGGCATCAAACGCGGGGTTAGAAGGAGGATTAGGTCGCTGATCAGGAAGCTCGTGGATCCATGCTTGCTCGAAATCAAAAGTGTTTGGCGGAGGGCGAAGATAATAAAATTTGTTCTTCCAATTGTGGATTTTTTACTTGGGTTGGCCAAGGAATTTCGCACCGTGATAGTTAGAAAGATAATACGATGTGCCTAGGGGTTTCATCCAAAGGCAATAGAAGCAAAGTTCCGGATCTAGCCGACCTAGACTGTAACGCCCCAAATCAGAAATAATAGTAAGAACGGTTTCACTGCTCGACTATAAGTGAAATCCATATTTTCAGAAATTTCGAGTTATATTATATATTGTAAATGCTCAATTAATTCCTAAGTTTGATAGATCATTCTTTGGAATTTACTATATTAAGTATAAGTCAAGATCAATCCATTAATTTGGAATGTTAAAGTATAGCAAATTGGCTCGAGAAATTATCGGCTTCGAACCCTAGTTTGGTTCCGATTATTTTTCAAGTTAATTCTCGAGCATAGCCAAGTCTTGGTATTTTATACTTAGAATAATTTTCTAAGTCTTGGAATATCAAGAAGTAAGTCTCGAACATTTTAAAAATCGAGCCCTAGACCTACCCGAGCCGCCCGTGCCCTAACCTCGCACCCGCGCCCTGAGTCGCGCCCAAGGACCGCCCCAAGACCTTGTCCAAGGTCTAACCATCATCCCACATATTTTTCTAAGTGTTGGGAACTTGTCCTAGCCCATTATAACCGGCCCAAGGTGTTCCCCCCCTCAGCCAATGCAGCCCTCACGCGCAGCCCCGCCTCGCACCCAGCAGGCCTCGCACCAGCCCAGCAGGCCGCGCTCAGCAGCCAGCGCCCAGGCCCAGCGCGGGTCTGTGGCAGCCCAATTCCATAATTTCCGGCCCACTTTCCTCATGACCCAATTTAGACGTGTAATTAAGACTCAATGAGGGACTAATTGAGCTTAAGTTACCCTGAGCAATGTTTAAGGAAAATCAAATAGTGCCAAAGCAAAGTGGAGCATGTGTTGCCATTATTTTATTCAAGAATTTTGTCTTTGTCCCCTAGTTTTGAACCAAGGCTGACCAGGTTCCTTCACCATGATAAAAATACTCTGCAAAGAGCTCCAAAGACCGTGCAATGCCATGACAATCATGCCCCAAGACCACCAAGTCCATACTCTTGGAAAAATGGATGTTCCCCACCATGGAGCCTTGTTAAATCCGCCCCCAAGCCTTATTTAAGCCTCTCCACCTCAATTGGTGATAGCTCTTGCACCCTTAAACATTCTAAGACTTCATAAGTTCAGCATATTTTGAGAGGAGAAGAGAGAAAACCGAGCCAAAGTCCTTAGGCCACTGTCCGCGCGCGCCCAGCCGGGGGAAGGAGAGGAGGCAGCCATCTCGTGTTCCAAGCCATTTCTCTCGAGGCTTAGCAATTTCTAAGCATTCCTTAGATTTTTCTAACTCTTTGTAGTTGTCCAAGCTCAACCAAATCGCACTCCAAGTTGACCTAAGCCCCAAAAGCCGCCCCTACCCATCATTTGAACCCTAGCTTTCATTCTCAGTTTCTAGCCAAGGTAAGCTCGTGCCTCTTGAGTTATTTAGCCATCATTATGATTTATCATGAAGTAAAACCGAGCCATGCATGAGTTTATAAGCATGTTTCGAATTTAATGATTTAATGGCCTTAAAAATGAAATTTTAGTAGCTAGCATGTTAAAGTCGAGACTTGTGGTTAAATCACTCTTAAAAATCATTTTATTGATGATGTTAAAGTTTGAGAATTAAATGAGTTCATTAACTTAGTCAAATCATTCATGAAAATGGGGTATTTTGAGCACCCAAGGCTTACCCTTATGCATGCAAGTTATGAACCATGTTCCTAGCCATTTTAGCCATCATTTATCATGTTAAACATTTGGCCCTGAGTAGATTTGTAAGTTATGAATGTTGGTTCGGAATTCAAGTGCTTGTACGTGCCATTTAGGCCCTATCTCAACTCATAATTAGACATGTCATAAAAATTTCATAATTTTAGCATGCATATACATCAACTTATTAGAATTTAAAGTCATAGTGAACATAAAATTCATCTTGCATGTTCAACTTAAAAAATTCATAACTCAAGCTATACTTTGCCAAATCACTTATTTCTTATTCTCATGTACTCCACTTTTACATAAGAACCATTCATTTAAATCATACTTTTCCAACTTATTCATATCTTTATCAGCATCTCATCAAATCAAGCACATATATCATTTAATTGATCTTCAACAACTTTAACTCTTTGTATTCATTGAATCAATTATAAATTTAACTTCTAAATCATGATATACCTACTTATAAACATGTAAACTCATTATCAAAACATGAACTTAAGCATAAAACTTTAAGATAAGTAAATTACCTCCTTCTTGCTAGAATCGTAACTTGATTCTTCACTTCTAAATTCTTCACTTCTTCACAATTTCTATTACTTATCTCTCTATCTTTTGGTACTTTTCTTTGGTGTGAGAACTCTGATTTTTAGGCCTCTATTTATAGGCACAATTTGGCAAGACATCATAATGGAGTGAAGAAATGAACAAAATAAACAATTTAAACTTATAAACTTAATTAATCATAAACTATTTTATGATTAACTTGTATTCTTATCCAAACATAATTATCATAAAAAATGGCCTCTATTCATAGCCATGAATGAGCTTTTTGGTAGATAAAACTTATTCCACACCAAGTTTAATAAAATTCTCACCAATTGTTGAAAAAAAATGCTAACTTAAAGACTTAGCAAAACTTTGTTGTGATTTTTTCATCTCATTCTCACCAATTGATGACTAAAATTTCGTGCTTAATGTGATGTAATTGATTCCATATATTATTGAAAAAATGTCACCATTCATCATATAAAAATCTTTGGAACAAAATAATAAAAAAAATAAAAATCATCTTTTTTTTATTACTTATGCATTTTCTTTCAAAATGGCTGATTTTTAAAACTCTTTTACTGAAAAGTAATGCTCATATATGGTCTTGGATCATGCTAATAAACCGAGAATAATACAATTTACGGAACTCAATTTGGACTTAAAACGAACGTTTATCGTAAAACTGAAAATTCTAAAATTTAAATCCTTTACTCACAGTTTTTCTTCAATTTAATAAACATATTTCTTCTTAGGATCTAATATAATTATCTTGAAATATTCTATATTTACGGAACCACATTCGGACTTAAACCGAACGATTACCGTAAAACCGAAATTTCTAAAAATTTCGGTTTCTCTTAAAATAATTTAAATAGACTATAATGTCTAAATAAATTTTCTCACTTTTTTGAACATTTATCACTTAAATGTTCATGGATACTTAACCGCACTTCGAGACTTAACTTGTATCAACATATGCTAAAACTCAATATTATGATCTTATCTTGATGACTTGAACACTTAGAAAAATTCTAAGTATTTAGTACTAAGGCTCGGCTATTTCTTAATTAAATTCAACTCATGACCGAACATACTTGAGTTCAGTTCACTACTTATCATAAACGATTAATCAAAATATACTCAATTTCGATTATTCGTTATCTAATATTAATTAATCCCGTCTTATAAATCCATTTATAAAAATAAACAGACCGGAATTAATTAATTACTGAACTTGCTCGATTACTGAATAAAATTTAACCGAGAATACTTTCGACTTAAAGTCGAACTTTTAACTGAATAACTTAATAACTGGCTCGGAACTACGAACGAGCATTATTAATAAAAGTAATTAGTTCAACTTAGAATAATTACTTTTATTAATTAATGAATGGGATATTACACCAGCTGCAAGCCTGGCGATGTTATGAGGTAACACTAAAAACAACAGAGGCCCAGAATAAGAGGAGGAAAGAGGACGACCCCGAGTCGTCCCATCGGGAAAAGAGGCAGGAGTTAAGGCTAGAATCACAAGATGAACTTATAGAGGTTGAGCTCATCGAAGGAAGGCCGGATAGGGTCACGAAGGTAGGATGTCATATGGGAGAAAGTGTGACAAAGATGCTGGTCGCATTGCTCCAGGAGTTTGTGGACGTGTTTGCCTTCTCAGCGGACGATCTCACAGGAATTAAACCAGACATTGCCGAGCACAAGTTAAATATAGACTTGGCAGCGCGGCCAGTGAAGCAAAAGAGGCATCATTTTGGTGTCGAGCTCGATAAGGTGATTGATGCCGAGGTGCAGAAGTTACTAAAGGCGGGGCATATACGGCCTATCCAATTCCCAGAGTGGCTGTCCAACTCGGTGACGGTTCAAAAGGGTGAAGG